AGGAGGACCGCAACCAAAACGCCGGCCAGAAGTGGAAGCTGCCGCCGAATGGTCAGCCCATCTGCCTCTTTAGCGGCAATGCGACGCCATCGAAGACAGTCATACGGCCGGACGATGACAGTAAGTATCTAACGTAAAAATATCCTTAGTCCGGTAGGAGAATCCCAAAAATGCTCTGGTTTCTTTCAGTCATTTTCCGGGTCTACTGCGCCGACCACACCTACTGCACCCTGCGCTTCCCAATGCACACCACGGCTGAGCTGATCAAGGCCTGCGCCGCCGATAAGCTGCAGCTTAACAGGGGGCCCGAGGACCTCGTCCTCGTCGAGGTCAAGTCGAACGGGGAGCGCTCTGTGTTTAAGGACAACGACGTTAGCATCCCCACAGGCCTGTCGCTCAATGGCCGCCTGTTTGTCTCCGTCAAGGATCACCTAGACGCGCTGGTGAGTGTTTCCCCAGAGGCCATACTATCTTGAAGATTCTTTACCCATATCCTTCTGCAGACGCAACTGCAGGAGCAGGAATGCCCCACTGAGGGCGTGGACATCGACTTGGAAATTCTGAGCACCAAGGAGCTGGCCTACCACATCACCCTGTTCGAGTGGGACCTCTTCTGGGCCGTTCACGAGTATGAATTGCTTTACCACACCTTCGGGCGGCACCATTTTGGCAAGGTAAGAGGGCACAACTTGGCCGAAAGTCCCAGAAGTCTCGTTTGGGCAATTAGCCTGCCGCAACACTGTTGCCATTTGTCATCTGCTGGCAAATTAAGTTAGTCCAGACTTTGCCTCTCAACGTAATTAAATGAAGGCTCGAAACTATTTTGAAACTTTCGTCAGCCAAGGTTCTCGTCTTGATCGAATTTCTTTTCCCCCCCCCACAGATCACGGCCAACCTGGATGTCTTCCTGCGTCGCTTCAACGAGGTTCAGTACTGGATAGTCACTGAGTTGGTGTCCACGCCCAGCCTGAGCAAGAGGGTCGGCCTAGTGCGGAAGTTCATCAAACTTGCAGCCTAGTAAGTAATTCGAAAAGTTAAGGTGGCAATTGAGGAGGAATTTTAACCTAGCTTTCTTCCCTGATTTTTTCTTTAGAGGATTTAAAATGACTTACTTATTACTTATGACCCCAAAATTTCTTTTTAGCTGCAAGGAGTACCAAAATCTAAACGCCTTCTTTGCCGTGGTAATGGGTCTGTCCAATATGGCGGTGACCCGGCTGCAGCAGACCTGGGAGAAGATCCCTTCAAAGTTCAAGAAGATCTTCCAGGAATTCGAGGCGCTGATTGATCCCAGCCGGAACCATAGGGCGTACCGCGTGTTCGTTGGCAAGCTGCAGCCGCCTTTGATTCCATTCATGCCGCTGCTCCTCAAGGACATGACCTTCGCCCACGAGGGCAACAAGACCAGCCTGGACGGCCTGGTGAACTTCGAGAAGATGCACATGATGGCCCAGACGATGCGCACTATACGCTTCTGCCGCTCTAGGAGTCTGGGTAAGCATAGTTTTCCAAGGCCTACTAGAGCCCAGGCAGTCTTCTAATTGAATTCGATTTACGACAGGGCTGGAGCCACCTTCGCCGAAGAGCGAGGGCGAGGTGCGGTCATACATCAGTAGCTTCCGCGTCATCGACAACCAGCGGGTGCTCACGGCCATGTCCCAGAAGGTGGAGCCCACCAGGAAGCTCTAAGCCCCGGGAAGGGCCCCTGCCCCGAATGCCCCGTTATCGGATTAGCTTGTAGCGCGTATTAAGTGTCTAACCCTGAGTGTGTGTTAATCAAACTGCAATTAGCTGCACAGTTATGAGCTTAGCCGGGCGGGATGCCAATTTGGGCCCCAGCACCCACAGCCCGGACCAACTTTCACCCACATTCACATCCGCATTCGCATTAGCCTAAGCCACGGCATATCTATGGCCCAACTTGGAAACTATCTCAATCTTCTAATGAACTGAACCCCAAATGCATTTCAATGCAAACGACAAACTTTTTGCTTTAGTACAAAACGAAAGATGGCAAACAAATTTGAAATTCGGCAATCCCGGCGGGAGCTGAAACGAATACAAACAAAACTTGGACGTGTGTGATACTAAACATTTAGAGGAGGCAACATCAAAACAAACAGCACTAAACTGCATAATTTCCTACGAAACTTTACCACATAACTCCTACGCAAGCTAGTAAAATAATTTGTATAATTGTATAACGTAGCCGAGAGCATGGAATCTATTTTTTTAAAGCCCCAACTAAAACCTACTATTAAACAGTCTAGTTGAAGCTAGTTATTAACATGTAAGCTACATAGCAAATAAGTTATTGTACCCTTAGTTTCGGACCTTCATTTTCATTGGGTTGTTCTTTACGCCCCCCTGTGTACCGTGACTCGCAGAAATACAAAACCATTTATTAATATTTATTTACACCACACATTTATTTGTTTTATTTTGTACAAAATTCTGACCTTAAGTATGGTATAAACGTGCATTTGCAGATGCATCGAAAGCATTAAACACTGGAGAGGGACCTTATTAGTTGTAGTCGTGTACATATGTATATGTATATGTGTAGAGCAAGTTGAATTCATTCACATGCGTATATTTGGTGTGATTACTTTGAGTGTCAACGTCAGGCTAATGCAAAGCTAAGTGGTTTTTCGCTGCATAACTGGAGGAGACCCAAGCTAAAACAGGGACTCCTGTGCAAGAACCAATTGATAGTTGTGGTAAGAAGTCGTAGATATCCCTAGAATCGTAGTTACCTTTCTTAACCAACTCCTCTTCCAAACAAAGGTCTCTCAAACAACGATATATCACTAATTAAAACCAAAACTTGTAGATGTAACCTACATTCTGACCACTATGCATCGTGTAGTATAATATCGTATAAAGTATAATAGTTTCTTCCTCACTAAGCTCCAAGACATTAGGTATCGAGTGGTTTCTCCCAACAAAACAAAAAGATAAAATACAAACAATACAAAGAGCAAACGAATTTTCAAGGAAACTTTTATAGATATAGCGAACCGGGTCAGACGAAACAATATTGTTTATTTGATAATTAAAGAAGTGTAAACATTTAGGATTGATTTACATGCAAAGTAACACCAATTTTAGTATGGAACAGTTCGTAAGCCAGAGTTCGAAAGCCTTTAATTACTTTATCTACACCATGTGCTACGAGAACGGGTAGAATGTGTCACAATCATCCCCATAGAATTGTGTAGACGTAATACCAATCCTCTGAGGAAACCTTCGATCTAAGTAACACAACTCTTTAAGCCTAAAGGTAGAAGAAGAATATATTCAAAAATCCAACATGTAGCTCGTAGGACCTTTTCCAGTGTTAAGAATAGAGGTTTACGCCGATGGTTAAAGGCATCGGCGGCGGCGTAGAGGTCAAAATGACTCGGCGGCGGCGGCGTAGTAGTCAGAAAGAACCGGCGGCGGCGGCGCGTCAAATAAGGCAAAAAGGCCATTTTAATGAGTTATTTATTTTTTTTAAAGTTTTATAAAGAACAATGACACTGAAGGCCGCGCTGAAGCTGCGCCGATGCCGCACCAGCGGCGCGCCGCGGCGCGCCGTTATTTTCATAATTTGGCGGCGGCGCGTCAAATAAGGCAAAAATCGGCGGCGGCGGCGGCGGCGTGGCGCGGCGGCGTATATGTCTAGTTAAGAACATGTTTCCAAAAAAAGGAAAAACCCTCATGTGTCAAATGTATCTATATTTTTGACTACTGCTATGTTAGAGTAATACCAACAATACGCAATCCCTTTTGTTATTGTTGTGCACTTTCAGCAAACATACACATATGTATATTCTATATATAGGACTTATACCAATCTAACATATATGCAAGTACTCCAAAATAAGAAAATTCCAAATTTTACTTGTGATTCGATTTGACAATCTCAAAAATAGCTCTACAAACGTTTATTTTTTCAATATTACCTAGGCACTTTGCATAAATGTAACGACACAGACAGATTTATTAAAGCTATACGTAAATACCTCCGTTACCCGAAACACAGCTAATGCCAATCAGTTATATTCAGCTAGCGAAAGTCTCAGCTGCAACTAGTAATAGCCACTAAATGTTCAAATCAGTGTTTACATGTCTAACGCAAAACAATCTCAAAAGTTTACTTACCTACCATATAGTGAAATAGAAATAGAGTAAATAGTTCGTAAAGCAGTATCGGAGAGACGGCTCCACGGAGCTCACAGTAAGAAGACAACACCAACAAACAACTTAGAGGTAACTAAATCCATAGAGTAACTTATGGAGCGAAGGAGCTCCCAGCAAGAACAACCTAAACTTAATAACATCCACATTGTGCGAGATCTTTTAGCCCCACTAACCACCAGATTACATATACTAATTAATTGTACAAGTACACCCTTAATGCGATCAGCCAAGTGAGATTTATGCAAAGCGAACTAAATATTTTAACGCAAACCTTCAATGTTGAAACTAAGTGTAAACCACCATGTATCTTTGAATGTCTAACATTTTGAACTTAACTAATATTCGAATAAAGATTTATGTGTTAGCAGTCCGCTCCGTCTTTGAATTTCGATCTAAAGGATATGATTTGATCTGATTTTCATATTTAACAGATAATATTGGATTTAATAGGAAGTCAATTATGTTACTTCAGTCGATTTAGCAGGAACACTTAAGGGTTATGAAGTGGTAATGTATGAAGTCCTTTCGGCTTCCCAAATATGCTTTCTGTCCTGTTTTTGTTGTAAATACTTAATATAGTTCCCTTTTCATACATTAAAACATAGACACAAAGTGCGTTCACCTTTATAAATAGCTCTAATTCATCCCAACGGAAGCCGGATGCCTCTTCAAAAGTCTTCAAGTCAGGACAAGTTCATCAGAGACTTCCACCTACAGTAGTACAGTACACTCACCTAGTATCAGAATCTTTAAGTTTGCAAGATATCTTATTGGACAGGATCAAGGGATCATTTGTGATGCTTCGTATATGACATCAAGGCGAAGCTGAGAAAATACTTACAAATTTTAGAATTCAAAATGCGCGCCGAAAAGCTCGGGGATGGAGCTTTCGCTCGCTGGGAATAACCGTGAGTCGTCAATGACGCCATCGGATGACACAGCAGCTGCTCGAGCGCCGTGACAAAATCAACGAAACCGGCTGAGCGGGCCAACAGTTGTCCGCGAAGCCTTCGACGTGCTGGAACAGATTGCCGCCTCAGAGCAGATAGACCGAGACCCGTAGCGTAATCACAGCGACCCAGAAGCGTTCAATTTGCACACCACTAATTATCAGCGCATCCGACACACGATGACCAATCTGGCTCCCACCGTCCAGCTGAGCAACGGCCGCGAGATGCCGATCTTCGGCCTGGGCACCTGGAAGTCGTTCGAGTCGGACGCATACCACTCCACGCGTCACGCCCTCGACGTGGGCTACCGGCACATAGACACCGCCTTCGTCTACGAGAACGAGGCGGAGGTGGGCCAGGCGATCGCCGAGAAGATCGCTGAGGGGGTGATCTCGCGCGACGACGTGTTTGTGACCACCAAGCTGGGCGGGATCCACCACGACACCGATCTGGTGGAGCGCGCCTGCCGCCTGAGCCTGAGCAACCTTGGCCTGGACTACGTGGACCTGTACCTGATGCACATGCCGGTGGGCCAGAAGTTCCACAACGACAGCAACGTGCACGGCACCCTCGAGTTGACGGACGTCGACTATCTGGACACCTGGGCAGCGATGGAGAAGCTTGTGGACCTCGGACTGGCGCGGAGCATCGGTCTGTCCAACTTTAATGCGGCGCAAACCGAACGGGTGCTGGCGAACTGTCGGATCCGCCCGGTAGTCAACCAGGTTGAGTGCCACCCGGGATTCCAGCAACGCCAGCTGCGGGAACATGCCAAGCGGCACGGCCTGGTCATCTGCGCCTACTGTCCCTTGGCTCGCCCCCAGCCTGCCCGCCAGTGGCCGCCCTTCATCTACGACGAGCATGCCCAGCAGCTGGCCAAGAAGTACGGCAAGACCACGGCGCAGATCTGCCTGCGCTACCTGGTCCAGCTGGGCGTGGTGCCGCTGCCCAAGTCATCGAACAAGAGTCGCATCGCTGAGAACTTCCAGGTGTTCGACTTCGAGCTGAGTCCAGAGGACGTTCGGAGCATGGAGCAGTACCACACGGGCCAGCGAACGGTGCCGTTCTCCGGTATGGCCGGGCATAAGTTCTACCCGTTCCACGACGAGTTCTAGACACCATAGTATTTGTATTTGTATAAAATAAAGTGTATTACGTAGAGATCTCGGAGCGGCCAGGGGCTAATCAGCTTGTCTAACGGGGCCGCTTGATAAATAGTCTTATCTGGAGTATCTTGCGTGTGCTTCTGCCAGCTAGCAGTATTCGGCGCCCAACGAGTACGAGTTCCCATTCAGATGAGCAGCTGTGATAGTGCCTGCCAGGCGCATCCGAATCCGAATCCCATCTCCTCTTATCAGTGAAGCATTCTGGAATTGTGAAATCAAATTTTTGAAAGGCGACCTTGGGCACCGATAACGATAACAGAGCTTTCTTATAACAGAGAACTCGGAAGTTTTCTAACACTGGCCGCCCACCTGAAGAGATCCTACCTTTTCTTTAGCTGAACCTCATTAAGAATGCAGATTTAATCTATGTATTTCGAGTGCTTTTCACGTAATTTTAATTGTAGTTGGCAGCAGACAAGAAATTAAGTACTTAAAACGTTAAAAAAAAATAGTAGTATGACCAGACAGCAGCAATCGGCGAACAATTATCGATACTTTCAGTGGCCCATCCCTAGCAGATTCCAATAGAAATAAAAAATAAATAAATAAACCCCCGCAACATGTCTATAATATTAAGGCTAAACTTGCGTTCATCGTTGATGCTACAGGTACTTATACCAATATTCATGAAAGAACCCTAATAAACATCAAAAACATATAACCACAGCAGGTGCGTTTCAACTCTAAGGATGCAGCCAGCGCCAAAACAATACCCAAGAACCTCCTGGAGGATAAGCAAACCGCCGTTTTGCAGAAGGAGAATGGGGCCATCTTCGACAAGCGACCATTCAAAATAAGCCTGGACAAAGGTATGTTTCACACAACCCTGAAAATCCGGGCCTCTCCAGATGTGTTTACATAACCACAACTCACTGCCTTCGCCGACAGACAAAACCTACAGCTGGTGCCTGTGCGGCAAATCCAAATCTCAGCCCCTGTGCGATGGCATGCACAAGAATGAGTTCCTGAAGATAAAGCAGAGGTAAGATGTTATTATAATAAGGTCTATAAACGATTGATTTGATAACTTAAATCACAATTCCATAATTTAAATGAATATCTTTAATGATTCTCCTTTTTTATGGCATTGGAATCGCCCTATAACTAATAATTTTAATGTTCTCAGACCCATTCGCTTCAAAGTGGAGAAAACCGGCGACTACTGGCTCTGCAACTGCAAGCAGACCTCCCACAGACCCTTCTGCGACGGCACTCATAAGCAACCGCACATCCAGACAGCCGTCAAATAGTTTAAGGATAATGTGATAAGCTCGTTTGCTATTCGATTCTGTAAAAATGAAAAATGCGTTAATTTTGAATCAAGCAAGATATGGTTTTTATTTTAGATTAAAGAGCGTCAATTCTACACTCTACTGAATGCTTCACATGGTGATCCATCAACCGACATACATTCCATGTACTAACTGTAGGTCTAGGTTAGTTGGACCAAAGACTTTATAATAACAAAGATTAAGCCAGTGCTATAGATCAGGTCTAAAAGTCTTCTAAAAAAATATGTTAGAGTTCTCTCTTGCTTTTCAACACAACCTGGAGATATGCATCCTAAAAAAAACCTAAAATGGCGCTACTCATCTTGTTATTTTAAGAACTTACTTTCGTACGACTTTGCAAACTGTTACAAAATATGTCGTACAAACAATGTCGTAAAGTTCCGTTTAAATATGAAATCCACAAATCAAAAAAATGTTTATTTTTAGAAATTATAAAGAGGCTCCGTTTTTTATTTAAACTTTTAACGTTGTTCTACCAGTTTTTTACACATAAACATAGAACTGAATCATTGAGAGCAAATAATCACTTATTATATATAATCGTTTTGTTATGCAGCCGCCAATAATTAATCATTTAACATTAGAAATCAAAAGTTCATACATTATACAAATTCGGCTCGATCGATCCACTACATAAATACAACACTCAAAACATGACAAGTCGGCAAAACAAGCATAGTTAGCAACATTATAAGTGCATTACAACTGATTTTTAAGTGTGTGATGTACAGAATAGCGAAAAATCCTTAATATATAATGGTTAATCAACTATTTCGGCTGTGAATCTCGCTTTTATTACACTCTGCAAAAGTACGAAAAATGTAGTTTCGGTGTTGTTGTTTTTACATAGATTCGCTATAGCAGGGTGCAGTATCAAGTTCACAAAAATTTTGTGTCGAAAACTCTGCAAACTATTGTTTTAAGCTCCAGCTAATTTAGTACTCAAACAATCTTCGATTTCATAACAACAGTAGCTCTGTCAACACCTCGTCGCCGTGAATCATGCACTATACGTATTAGTATGGATTTATTCTCGCTTGTATCATCTCCTGTATTTTGCTCTTGACTTATGTTTTGAATATATATATGCAGCAAATGAATTTCGTGGGTTGTTCCTTTCTTGCTTTAAATTAATACTCCTCGTCCTCTGGTGGTGCATCGTCTGGCGGCGCAAAACCATCCTGAAATCGAGAATTAGATGTGAATAGGACTGTAACTCCGGGAGGCTAAGTGTACGGACATGACCTACCTCAGTCGCATATAAGATGTCCAAAATCTTTTGAATAAGCGGATGCCCTTCTGCGTCATCAGCCTCTTGGCAACTGGAAAGGAGGAGAGGGGGAATCGGATCAGGGGTCTAGGACTAGAGCAAGTCGACTTACAGGATCTCAATGTCGCGTAACTTGGAAAAGTAGAAATCGCGCTCCTTCTCCAATCCCTCCATGTTTATGCGCATGTCCATGACCTGGTAATCAACATTATTAGCATCAGATTCTTGATTGTTTTGTTCATTATCACCCACCTGGTTGGACATCTCTTCAATCTGCTGATTGTTGACTGAGCTTCCTGAATCGTTCTTCTTCACCGTGCCTGTGGCGGCGGCGGCTACTCTGCTCGCTGGCGCGACGTTGTTCGTACGTGAAATCACCTTGGTGGCTGCTGAAGGAAACGGGAGGGCGTTAGTATGCAGATACCTCGCCAGTAAAAGCTCATGGATTTAACAAACGTGAAGCACACTCAAAACAGTCAGATCAACTTTTCGCGTTTCATTTGTTTGTGTATACTTTGGGGGTGCATTAAGTTTGTTAAGAGGCTTGGGAGCGATCTACGTAGAACACATCATGTGGGTATGTAGATTGTGTACATTATGAAGATGCGAGGAGGAAAAGCTGGGGTTTAGGGAATAAAGAGCTTGAGAACCAAACCGAAAACAACATACTGGGCTTCACTGCAGATGTCGTCGCCGCCGGACGCGTCGTTGCCGGTGGGGCACGCCGGTAGCTGCTGCCCACACCGCTGGAGCCAGTACCGGGCAGGGACTTCACCGCTCCGGAACCGAAGCCCATTGGGGCGCCCTCGCGGACAGCACTGGCATCGTAGTCCCTGCCATCGTAATTGGCATCGAAGAATTTTTTAAACCATTGCAAGAATTCGAAATTGTCTTGGAAACGACCTTTTATCAATTTGTCAATGGGTATAATCTAAAAGTAAAATGTGTGAAAAAATGCAGAGACAGGTGAGTGTGTGTGGTGAAACCAAATGCACTGGGAACAAACTAAGGATACAGTACTACAAATAGACGAATGAGTGTACAGCAAACGAAATGCCCTTTGGCTAGCCAAAGCTAAGTAATATCCATGCAGATAAACATTGAAAAACCAAGTTGTAAGGTAAGTTCAGTGATGGAAATATGATCTATAAAAGAAGGTATTTTTAGCGTACATTTTTCGAGGTCTTATGGAGTTTTTTTAGACAAACTGAGGGACAAAAGGGTAGTCAGGATGTCTGTAATACCATAAACCGACGATATATTTCTTATTATATTCTTTTAATTACATATTTTACTTTGTTTATAGATAATATTTACTGACTTTTTCTTGTTAGATTTTTCTTGAATATTCACATAGGATGAAGAATTTCGATTTCAATGGAATTAAAGAATGGGTCGAACTATTGGCGTTCCATTAAAATTATTCTTTGAAATAATTGGAAAGCTATAACGAGTATCCTTGCAGTTATACCAAGGACATCATTCCCATCACTGATTACGGGTGGTTAGTGGGTTGGCAGGCGGGACAAGAACAAACAGATCCTTTGACTCAAGTGTTTTGTGCTAGGATGCGACTTAATGTGTGTGCTTGTTGGGTAGTCAGAGGTGCTCCACCTGCTTTGGATCAGTGCGGTGTGTGTGTGTTTTAAGTGGAGTGGTGTTCGGTGTGGAACATCCCAGATCGATCGATTGATTCACTTGGCTCCGCTGCGTGCTTCACGTTCGCTCAATTCGCAACTCAAAAATGAAATGACAAACAAATGGTACGACCGCTCCCAGCACCGCAACACTGGTCAGAGCCCAGTCCCTGTCCATAACCGTACCGGTGTGAGCTATGGCCCGTGGTGGCATGCGGCTGACACCACCGGTGGGCGCCTGCAGGGGCCGGCGGTGCATCAGATGGAGATCGTTGTTGCTGCTGCCCACGCCGCTTCCTCCGTTACTGCCGTTCCCATTTCCCAGCTTGACACCACTTCGCTGGGCCACGGGATCGTACTCGCGGCCGTCGTAATTGGCGTCAAAGAACTTCTTGAACCACTGGAGGAACTCGAAGTTGTCTTGAAAGCGTCCCTTAATCAGTTTATCAACTGGTATGATCTGTGCAGTTGTTGGTTTGGAGCGAGTCGATTGGGTTGTTGATTTGTAACGGAAATTGCAGTTTAGTTACAACACACATTAAGTTATATTAGTACAGTCGGAGCTGCTCATGGCTAAATATACAAGGGAACGAGGCGCTGCAAGTCCACTCCACAGTCTCGCAATTGGGTCGGGTTTTTGTGTCAGTGTGTGGGTTTAAATCAAATCAAAAATCTCGAATTAAACGGAACTATGAATCTAAAGCTAGCATGCATTACTGCTCTTACCTTATCCACAGACATCTTTTTGAAGCCCGCCTGCAATATCTTGAAATTCTGTATGTACTCATGCTCCAGATTTGTTCGGAATTTGACACGCTTCACGGGCACTGAATTGGGAAACAGCATGTCCATGAACTGGCAGTATGCGGCACCTAAAACGGCAAACGAAGGTGGGTCCGTCCCAATAAGAATGCCTTCCGGATGACTTAAGCTCACACTTACCCGTGCATAGCTCCTCGATTTTGGAGAACTGCGATTGCAGGCAATCATTCACCCAGGCCAGCATGTCGTGTCGCGAGAGATTCTCTGACGTCACATTTGTGGAGTAAACGTTAACAGCCATGATGAGATGGTGTTGTCCTCTGGTTTCTTAGGCGGCACTGAAAAAATAAAACAAAACCGACTGGTTAGAGCTCTGTGGGCAGCGTCTCTAATCCCATGTGGGAGTGCTATTGCCATGAACGGCTCTTAATTGCTCCAGCTAATAATTGTTTTGGCTCTAGATGCATTCAAGCGTGGCCCATGTGCGTGCTCAATATCAAGATCACGATAATAATCATCAGCAAAGCAAGCGGGAACGCCAAATGATTGTTATTGGACATGTTACCGTTGCACACTCACTCCACGAATCTGCAGCCTGGGCATTCCTAGCCCGACACACCAATGAAAGTTGTTTAGCGGGTTGGATGTACTAGCTATAGATTCGAGAGCCAAACGAAAGGCCTTTTCGAATGGAGAATTAACTCATCTCCCGGAATGCAAACTATAATCGGTTGAAGCTCTTGGCATTATGCACTTTTCTTGAAAGTTTGCTTTAAGAATTGTAGTTACCTAGAGAGGTATTCAAGTGATTCCTATTCTTTTTGTAAAAAAAAAAAATATATTTATTTTGAATAGTTGCAAATATATATTTGTTTTTACAGAAATCAAGTTTTCTACAGCCATGAATAAGTAAAAGGTTTTTTTTCCCGCGTAAAGGAAAGCTTATGGAGAAAGTGTCACACAGGCCGACAATATTTGAAGAAAATCGCAGAACCAAGAACCGAAATAAACTTTTCCCATCATTTTTGATGGCCTTAAAAAATGTTCTGTACGACAGGTTATTCAGATATACCAATTTAAAAGTGCAACAAATGCGGATTATGAACACTTTTGAGGTGCTTCAAAATCAATACGATTTATTTTTTCAAAGCAATGGTTATGCTTTCATAAGGTACTGTCTTGACCTTATGATAATTTTTAGTTTTTACTTAAAAAAAATCGTTATGGATCTTCGAATTGCCTTTTTTCTTTAAAATTATATCCTTATTTTTCCATAAATATTATCAAAATCGACACACTCAGAAATATATGGAAAAACATCGATATAAATTCAAAAGACGATATCTCGGAGACCAACATTTTTTTCAAAATTTCCAAAGTTGATTGTAAAGGTCAAGAATAATTCTATAAGATGCCGTAACGATTGTTTAGAAAAAAAAATAAAACTTATTAAATATATCAAAAAAAACTGTATTTTCTGCACTTTTATGTTCAAATCTTTTTAAAAACCTGACGTATTGAACATTTTCTGAGACCGTATTTAAGTTGTGAGCATCAAAAACTATCGGAAAAGTTTATTCCGCTTCTTGGTTTTTAAAAGCTTTCGATTTGTGTTAACAATGAGCTTGTATAGAGTTTAAATTAATCGGTTTTGTAGGATAATCTTATTAAAAAAGTTTAGCCATTTTCTTTGTAGTAAATGCTTATAAATCAACATTTTCTTTTACTTTGGGCAAGCTAACTTCCTTCTTCCACTTATTAGGAATAAGGGTTCCCTAGATTTATCTTGAAAACCTACAAGAACCCCGAACAGCGATCGAAGAAACGGGAAATGAGTAAAGGGTAATCCGCAAAGACCACAGCAGGCGAACAATGAACTTGGTCTGTTTTCCGACAAGACGCGTTGTCAACGCTCCGCTCCGCTGCCTGCCCTAACGCCAGCGTCATTGTGCCAGCAGCAGATAAAGATTACTCATTGGCATTATCAATGTCAGCCTGGCCAGAAGGGACATAGAACATGGGCAAAGAGAACTTAGAACGTGGGCCACCAAGATAAAGAATTAGCCGGCATTTGGGAGCCAGTCTATAAATATACCGACTCACTTCGTCCACGCTTTGTGCCCGTGAGCGTTTCAGTAATGCGCCACCTTTAGTGTGTATGTGTGTGTGCGCTCCAAGTGCATTGACCCGAAAGGGCGGAACTCCAATTTGAAAGCGGGGCGATTTGCTGCTATTTTATTGATTTAAGTGCTCCCTACTAGCAGAAGGCACAACAATAGCCATGCCCCAAATACAACAAGTAGATTTGTGCACAGAAAAAAACAGGACAGCACAAGGTCCTACTTATATGAAGGAGTCAAAGAAGGATATTTTTAAAACAAAGATATGTGATTTTAAAAAATTCAAAAAATGTTTGATAGGATATAAGGAGGGAGAAAAACTAAGATAACAATACTCTCCCTTTTATTTAAATATTTCAGACAAAGTCCCTTTTAGAATGAAATCTACAACCTGATATATTTTTCTCTGTGTAGGCCGCTGTCGATGGGTAGCTGTGCCTGTGTGTGTGATCGCGCTTGTATACTCGAGTGTGGGTGGGTGCAGCGGAAGTTGGCTACGAACTAATTAAGCAGAACAGGGAAAACCAAGAACAGCAGTGAAAAACGGGGACCAGTTGCCCAAAATGGGGCCTCCCACTTAATCATCCGTCATATTTCATCCATATTTAAATTTCGCTAATGGGAAACAATCTCCTCCGTGGAAGTGTGTCAACAATGGCAACCACACTAAGCCAGCCTCTTGCGCGCTGAGCAAAAAATAAACATGCCAATATTATGAGCCAAATCCGCTTGAAAGAGTGTGAACGTGAATGTGAATGTGAGTGCGAGTGTGTTTGTTTAAGTGGAGAAGCCGAAAAGAAACCGGCAAGCTGTTGGAGCAATAAAAAAATAGCAGAAAGCTGCGTTGGCGACTCCACTGGATAATTAAGCCAATATAAATAGTAACTCGATCTAAAAGAAAACAAAAACAAGTCTCCAAACTGTTGGTAGCCGGACCCACACACGGACACACACACATTTGTGCGGGGGCTTGAGTGATAAACCGTAAATAGTTGACACATGCGGTGACGTCATCGATCTGAAAACAATCTGCACCTGAAACACGAACGAGCCTAAGGAAATATGGTCAGTTTCCTTACTTTCCAGGAAGGGAAGTGGCCCGAAGGAAGGGCGGGGTGTGCCTGGCGGGAAAGGGAAATGACGGGGCAGATTAGTCGCTGCAGTGGAATTTTTGCGGCCTCTGTTTTGCGGCTGTGGCAAGTACACAAACACACACACACACACTCGCAGACCAAGATTAACAGTCACTCACACACGCGCACCCTCGGAACGGGACGCTCGCTCGAAATTTTATTTTTGGAGGAGGGAACAGCAGCAGGCGACATTTAAATATACAACGAACGCACGCACACATGTGCAGCGACGCATCTCGCATCTCCTCGCCGTGTACAGCTATTTCCTTCAAGTGTGCACTTGAAGTTTTCGGCAAAGCTATTTTAAAATCGCCACATACACTCCACACTCAGCTCCCGATGAACTTTCTTTTCTGCTGACGCTTCTTCTAGATTTTGCCATTTCTTCTTCTTGGCTTCTTTTTTTTTTTTTCTTTGCAAAAAAACGCCGAGCTAGGAGCCACACACACACACACGCACGCACGCTCACTGACTCACACGAACGAAGTGGGGCCCCCATACGGAAGGGCGACAACTCATGGGCTGTGGGATCCTTAGTCAACTCACCGTATCAGTTGGTCGTGGCTCTTGGGGCTGAGTGTGTTCTAAATGTTTTCTGGATCTTAAACAAAGAAATGCAAGTTTTCTGACAAATTGTCTTACGAATGAAACGAGCGCTAGGGATGTAAAATGTACACTGATGCATCCGGCGCGCAGCGCAGGTCGGCATGGATGGCTATCGATAGTAGCTAGAGATGGCCGATAGAGCGCCGATTCATTTCCTTTAGAATTTTGATTTTGACAATTCTTTTTTACAATAAATATTATTTAGCTTACTTCTTTCAAGAATAAGTCAAGTTACTGCAAATAAATTAATTTTTTTACTACTATAAATTCGGTTTGCTCCTTGCCGAAAACTAACTTTATAAATTTATATGTCCTATAAGACTTACCTAATAAGCTAAACCAGTTTATTCTTTATTAATTTGTAGTATCTGACTAAAATCTAGATTTAAGCAATGCGAATTTTTTGCTTCTGGGGCTCTGGTAGGACTTTCAGGATGAACAGGACTGGTAAAACCTTTTCTAAAATGATAGTTTGGTTATTGGCAATTGGAAATGTTTCCCTTGCTTTAATAAAAGTCCATTGTTTTAAAAATATCTAAACAAAATTCGTCCATTTGTACAAGAGTATTTGTTTGGCTAACCTTCCCATGTAGCTTACTTTTGGGCAAATAAATATTGGCTCCGTTCCCAACTTCTGCTTCTAAAAACTAATTCCTTTATAATATATCTTTCTGCTGTGATAAGCCATATGTAAATAGAATTGATTTTCCTCAAAATTAGAAATTCCTCCATTTGCAAAACTGGTATCAAACCCAATTTTCCAAGATCATAGAGCCAACGCTATAAGATGTTGCAGCCCTGGCGAATTTCTATCATAAATTCTTGTGCCAGCGATAGGTGGCAGCCCCATCGCGATCAACCATCTGTTGCCGCTATCAGCTCGCATACACAACTCGATACTGACGTAACATCGGCCAGGTAAATTCCAGTCAGTTACTCCCGTAAAACCGCCCGCAAAATGATCCGGTTGAATGCGCTGCTAAGGAGCTCCCTGTCCTCCAATGTGCTGCGCAGCCAAGTGCGACTCCTTCACGTAGGCGAGGCGAACATTCTGCCCAGCGAGGTGGACAAACAGTCTGCCGAGTACAAGGTATAAGATACGCACTTAATCCTCAACGATTGCTAAAGTAGAAAATCGTTCGCCCAGGAAAATGCCAGAGAGATGGGAAAGCTGATCGAGGAGCTGCGCAGCTATACCAGCCAGGTGCTGACTGGTGGCGGTCAGAAGGCGATCGAGCGGCACACCTCACGGGGCAAACTCCTGGCCAGGGATCGCATCAATCTGCTGCTGGACAGGGGATCATCTTTTCTTGAGCTGAGCGCTCTGGCAGGGCACGAGTTGTACGGCGAGGAGGTGGTCAATTCTGGCGGAATTGTTACCGGAGTGGGACGAGTTTGCGGGTAAGTTTCATATTTCGTAAATGTATCTTTACCCAAAGTATTTATACTAAGAACAGTTATGGTAAAGTATATTTTTGAGCTGCATATTTTGATAATCTACGGTTAACCATATTTTCAGTACGGAATGCGTGGTAGTCGCCAACGATGCCACAGTTAAGGGCGGAAGCTATTATCCCATTACGGTGAAGAAGCATCTTCGTGCCCAGGAGATCGCTCTCGAAAACCGCTTGCCCTGCATTTACCTGGTGGATTCGGGTGGTGCCAATCTTCCTCGCCAGGCAGAAGTCTTTCCGGACAAACTGCACTTTGGGCGTATATTCTATAACCAGGCCACCATGTCGGCCCAAGGAATTCCACAGATCGCCGTGGTCATGGGCAGCTGCACGGCCGGAGGAGCCTATGTGCCAGCCATGGCCGATGAGAGCGTGATAGTGAAGAAGCAGGGAACCATTTTCTTGGCTGGCCCGCCGCTGGTAAAGGCAGCCACCGGAGAGGAGGTGTCCGCGGAGGACCTTGGCGGAGCGGATCTGCACTGCAAAACCTCAGGCGTGACGGATCATTATGCCGTCGATGACGAGCACGCCTTGTACCTTGCCCGCCAGATTGTGAGCAACTTAAATTTGCCCAGCACCAACGCCTACAATGACCAACTGGTGCACTCCAGTCAATCGAACTTCCGCGATGCTAGTCCGCCACTGGCTGTGGAAGAACCGCGCTACGATCCTCGTGAGCTGTACGGCATTGTGGGCCCCAATCTGACCAAGAGCTTCGATGTGCGCGAGGTGATTGCCCGCATTGTCGATGGAAGTCGCTTTACGGAGTTCAAGAAGCTGTATGGGGAGACGTTGGTCTGTGGCTTTGCAAAGCTCTATGGCCACACCGTGGGAATAGTCGGAAACAACGGAGTTCTCTTCTCTGAGAGCGCCCTCAAGGGAGCCCACTTTATTCAGCTGTGTGCACAGCGAAAGATTCCCCTGGTCTTCCTGCAAAACATTACGGGTAAGTTAACGTAAAACATTACTACGATACAGTCTAACTTACATTGTATCTTCCCAATCAGGATTCATGGTTGGACGCGATGCCGAGGCCAATGGAATCGCCAAAAACGGTGCCAAGATGGTTACTGCAGTGGCCTGTGCAAATGTGCCGAAATTCACCGTTATTATTGGGGGATCCTACGGCGCCGGCAATTACGGAATGTGTGGACGGGCCTACTCGCCGCGATTCTTGTATATGTGGCCAAACTCGCGCATCTCTGTTATGGGCGGTGTCCAGGCAGCCAATGTTCTCGCCCAGATCACGCAGGATCAGCGAAAGCGAGCGGGCAAGGAGTTCAGTGAGGCGGAGGCTCAGAAGCTGAAGGCCCCCATCGTAGAGATGTTTGAGGCGGAAGGCTCACCGTATTACAGCACGGCTCGCCTTTGGGACGATGGCATTATTGATCCTGCCAACACACGCCAGGTCCTAGGACTGAGCCTGAAAGCAGCCCTCAACAACGGCGGACAGGACACCAAGTTTGGAGTTTTCCGCATGTAAATCTGATTTTCATGACGTGCCAAACGAACTCGGGGAGCAGGTGCATTTACAGGCATTTAATGCCAGCCTTTATGTCGAAACTGTTGCATTTATTAGTTTTAAGTAAAATGTTATTTGAATAATATTCAACTGAGTGTAAAGTAATTATATTACCACGTGAAGCATTAATCGTAGTTTTTTCCAAATTTAATTTCGCTGTGGGGGTATGATTATATCGGTGCAAGAAGGGACACTTTTCAAAAATTTGTTGTGGCGAAACGGCTAAAGTTAGCTTTTTCAATTAAATACCATATAATAACACAAGAGGTAAAACATTTTGTGTTAATTATTCAGAAATATAGAGTAATAGCTATAGGAATAATTGGGAATCTCCCGTGCTCCTTAAAAAAAAGTTGGTTTGCGGTGCACATCCCAACCACAGAATCATGCAATATCAACAAATATATTGCATTCGTTAAAGGATAACTGTCCTGAGGTTCTCACGTAACGTTTTTTTTTTTTTAATTTTTATAGATTTTTTTAAATCAAAATCGGAAGTCAAAATCTCGCTTTTTGACGAAACGTTTTGAAATTTTACACATAAATTCTTAAACCTATTTTAATTTTTAAATGTATTATATTTTTTATTTAAAATAAGTAAAATATTGAGAGTAAAAGTAAAATATTGAGTTACTTTTTTAAATAAAATATATAATAAATTTAAAAATTAAAAAAAGTGAGAACTGGTAGATTTTTTAAAGAACTTTTCAAGATTTATACGTTTTGATTCGCTTACATTGAACACCAAACGACCTTCGCATAACTTCGTCAATTTTGCCATGATCGATTAGAAAATGTAACAAAATATTCTTAAGATATTGCCCATTCATAATAAAAAATAACAAATAAATTCAAACTAAATTAAATACCTTAAAAATTGGGAAAATTAGTTTTTGGTCTCCGAGACTATTCGCTAATCAGCTTTGAAATTAACAGAAAAGCTTTTGAAAAAAGTGTGAGGAAAAAGAAGCAAAACCCTTTAAAAACTAGTTAAACTTCTAAAAAATAGCATTTTACCAAATATTTTATGTTTTTGCAGTTTCAAAAAGTTAGATCTATAAATAAATTTTGAAATTTATATAGTGGCGTAAAAAAACATCGAGTGTTGTACATACACAGGTAAGCTTTTTGAGCGAAATATCGCTCCTCACTTCGCTCATATATCATTCACACTGACATCGACCTTAGCTTCTATTAATAAAAACTACTTTTAATGGTTTTCTAACATTTATTAATTGCAACACTGTAGCTGAGACCGCTGTAGGAATTGAACATGGGACTGAGAATAGATTAACCAGATCAACGGATGAGGGTGCATAGATTTGATGCTTAAAGTTCTTTGAACTTAATACGATTCGTTACACAATTTAGGTAGTTAACATGATTTGTGATTGTGCAGGTCGCTCTAGACTCTAGAAGGTAATGGGGGTGGGTAAATACTAATGCATATTGATTTACGTAGTCAGTTGTGGGTTTTTGTTAACGCTGCTAAACAATCACTTGACAAACATGAACATTGGCTCACTTAAATGTATTCATTAAACTAATTTAAAGTTAGGTTTAATTGTAGATTTCCTTTTAATAAGCGTTTCGAAAAAGTTGTACTACAAAATATGCTCATTCAGCGCGCTCGCCCTCGTTATGAGATTTACTTGATCTTGATTTTGTGCAGCTTCAGCTTGAAGCCCAAGACCTCGCTAAGCACGCCCGAGAGGGCCGAAAGTATGACTACCTTGATGGTTGTGAATAGATATGGGTTGGCGCTGAGGCCAGAGATCTTAAATGGCGTTTCGAGCTCCTTCAGCAGATCGGCCGCCAGCTTGAGCACACTGTTGGACACCATCAGCTCCTCCTTCTTCTTGGGCTTCTGTTCGATCTGCAGATACAGGTTGATCTGTTCGGTGATCAGTACGGACACGCTGCGGTATTTGTGCTGGATCTTCTGGCCCAGTGTCATGAAGCGTAACAGGTAGATTCCGATGGTGATCGACCAGATGAGCGCCTCCAAAGTCAGGTGCGTGTGGAGGTGCACAGAGTCCTTTAGCCACTCAACGCTGAGGAAGGCCAGCAGCAGCAGAGTGACTATGAAAGCAGCGGACACGATTATATCCACTG